CAGGAGCCGAAAGCGTGGCCTCGACCCTCCACTTCGTCCCCGTCAACTCCCCAACCTCATCCCACATCTTCTGGAAACTCTCGACGTTATGTCTGTACACCGAATGACCAGTTCTCCCTTCCTTCTCTCCAGGATTCACATTCCCCACCTGGCGTCCGAGAATCAAAGAGTCCTTTTCAGGCTTCAGAATCCTGACAATCCGCTGACAAACCTTGACCTGCTCCTCGTAGTTAAACAGGTGCAAAAATGCACCTACAAAGACAATATCGATCTTCCCATCCAGTTCATCAAGGCCCGACTTCTCGTCGAAGATGTTCGCCGCAATGAACTTCGTTTTCAGCGTCTCCTTGTCCCGGAACAGCTTGTAGCCCAGCTCGAAGAACTCAGGCCGCAGATCGCTACCGTAGAGCTGCTCGGATGGCACGCCGTCGAAGGCGAGTTTCCGGATCTCCTGTCCGAAGCAGCATCCTAGATCGAGAAATGTCTCGTTTTTGGACTTGAGGCGCTCCAGGATGGTGCTGTAGTTGGGGTAGTTCCTGATGGAGAGGTCTAGGAAGCGGAAGCCGCCGAGGCAGGGGTAGGGCCAGACGCTCCAGGCATCGTCGCGCTGGAGGGAAGAGAAAATAGTGTGTTAATATGAGGAGTTCGATGTCTCAGATGTAAAAAACAGTAAAACTGACTTTTGTGGGTTTGGTGCAGTGGAATATCAAAGATACCAGAGTTGCACACAGAAAATGACATTTTATAAATTGAAATAGAGGAAATATATGCATAGAGAGATTGAAGTGGAATACTCAAATGAAGATCCTTTACTTACCACTTTGGCAATGTGGCTCTCAACCTCGTCAGCGGGCACCTTGCTATACTTCTCCAGCAACTCTCGCGCGGCAGGGTTAAGTTTGTCTCCTAGATCCTTCGAGTACCACGGCACATCCTTGCTATCAGTATAGGAGAATGGTGATGGTGTGCTTTCTGTGAGTTGACTAATATCTAAAGCCATCTTCTGAACAGCTTGAAACAGCTTGGTATCAAGAGTTTAGATCCAAAGCCACGACCATAAACAACCAACGGAGACGGAGATCTAATAAAGAACGGAGCGGGAAGTTTATCCAGAAAATGAGGGGTTGAACAAAAAGAGGTAACTCTTTTAACTAGGGAACCACTCCGATTCAAATACTGGCCGGAAAATACACAAAATGAGGGGGAAAGAAGAGTCTAGATGATCTCATATCTAATCGCTATCATCACTCCCTTGCCTTACCATCTTTCTCCACCCGTTTGCAGTAACACGCGGATGGCATGGTCCCGGAATACGGCACCTCGCATAATACACTTGCACCGTTTTGATAGCAGACTGAAGAAAGGGTTGTCGCCCGAGAATAATCGGGAAATCAATCGACCCAGTGAGGAAAGTAGAATCCCACAGTTCACTACTAACCTATATTGAACGCGCGCCACGATGAGGAACTGAACTATTACCGGCTGTTCTCTTCGTGCATCACGCAATAAGTGGCAAGATGGGACGCATATCGCGAAAGAAGTGAAATCGTCCTTTTCCTTTTCCAGCATCATTCATGGCAGCCATTACAAGAGGAGGGAACGTGAAGATGAACTCAGGGGCTGTAACACAATTGGCTTAATCATCAAATAGCGTCTTTATAAATGAAGGTAAAAGATGATTACTTACATGAGTTCCACAAATAATGTACTGTAACCCAGGCGCTTTGTGAAAACAGTGCTATGATAATGGAGCTCAATCAATTGCTGCATGTATATTGGGATAAGCAGTCACACGCTAACAAAAAGGGACCTGTGTCGCAATTGGTAGCGAGTCTGATTCCAGTCCAGAAGGTTGTCCGGTAGGCATCAGAATCACAAGGTCAATTAATTGAATCCGAGAACTGACATCTAAAACAGTTCGAGTCGGGCCGGGTTCAAATCCCAAATATACTCCCAAATTTTTTTTGTTACTTCAATTTATTGCTTTGTCCTTTCTTTGTTCTTTTTGCTTGTCCAACATGTTTGCATGCGTGCAGCCAATTGTAAGCGAGCGGACAGTCTTTTTATCGTAGGTAGACACGGCACCACACATGTTGTTCGGCAAGCAGCATGATCATAATCGAACTGAGTTAAGCTACATGAGAGTTGCTTGAAAGATATGCTACTGAAAGGTAGGATCCGGTACAAAGATCAACTTAATAGCTTACCTGGCTCTTTTTGAGCAACTCACAAGTATGCTGTTAATAATCAAAGTGAGCATTTTAATCAATACCCGGTGACCACACGCCTGGTTGACTTAACAACCCAGCAATGATACCATCAAAGTCAAAAATCCTGCCCATTAAAGATAAACACAAACTCGCCCTTAAGCCGTGACTCAACCACCAGAGAAATGTGAGTCTTATACCATGATAGTCGTGTTGTTGGCGCTGATAGAGCCCGAAAGTCTTACAGTCAATCTTAACCATGGGAGGCAGACATTGTCGATGCCGACTATGTAACAAATGATCAAGATCCTTCATACTTCAGAATGTATGTTGGCCAGACAAAAGATTCTAGAGGGTCTATTTCATCCGGTTACGCTTCTCCTATACCCAGAGGAAACAATAACACCCTCCACTTTATATCACCTGGAAGACAATGGCTTATGAAAAACAAACTTTCTAAGGTCCTAGTCATTTCCTGCGAGTGAAGAGAATTGAAAACTTCCATCCATTAGACTTTTCAGCAAAGTATTCCGGATACTGTCTTTTACTTCGTGTTTTGATTTATATCAGACTGAGCTCCTAAAGAGTATCTCCATGACAAAGAGGTGGCAAGGACATCAAATCCAGGACCCCATATTTCAAGGGTTGATACAACCGGAGTAGAGAGGTCGGTTTATGTTGCAATTCTAGATCGGTGGGCCGATATCGCATTCGCGCCATTCATAAACAAAGATGCAAAACAAGGAGGATAATTTCGAGGTCCATTGGCTCGGGAGGGTTTTGGAAGAGCTGTTTGAAAAGCTTCTACCGTCAAAATCTCGTCCTCTTGGATACAATCACTGTCTGAACCGCATAGCTGTCCAGCAGCGAAGATGAAATTGTTGCGGAACTGAGAGTGGAAATCCAGGATTACCATAGATTGCTTGACACACCCGCGTTCGCTCTCAGAATATTCTTTGCTAGAGTTGGTTCTGCTCTCGATGGCGTAAGCAATAGTCAGCCTCTTTTAGCCCAAAGTGACACCGAATAGCTTTACCGTGGTGGATACAGAGATTGGTCCTAAAGAGCAGGAATCCTTTGTGTGGACTTTTGATTTTCCGGAATTCCACCTTTAGCACATGAGAATTATGCTTGTAGTGAAACAGAAGCTGGTGACATTCAGTTCATTAAATGATATTATCTGCGTGGCTAGCTCTATCACCAGAACTATAGTCATATAACCGAGCAAAAGGGGAGTATCTCGACTCTAGATAGGCAACACCACCTTCCAGCATACATAATATTCAATGCAAGCAGAGAAGGTAGCTCTTTTTCTTCTTAAAAAAAATAAGGCTGATAAAAGGAAGTTCTTGCGACAAAAGAGTTCGGGCCATACAGCTATCGCGTCGTGGCGTATGCTGTATGCCCTACATCTCCCCTAATATATCAGTGTTTTATCCACTATTAGGATTGGCTCCATTATCCCACCTCCAGAACAATAATTGACCTGACACTCTGCCATGAGAGGCGCTGTTTACTGTTCCTTGAATAGGTGTTGCTTACTTGGGGCTATATAGCAATCCTTGGCCGCTTTCTCGTCGTGAAGTTGTTTTTAGCGTGAATTGTATAAACTCGGTGCTTGGTGAGGTCTAACACCTCATTCGATTAGTATGCCCAATTATTTGAGGCTATCTGTAAAATTGCACAGTAAACTGCTGTTAAACAGTTCACTAAAAGATGTTTTTCTATGGAGTCCATGAGCGGAAGAAGCCATGCCTGGTGTACTAGAGAAGGTCTCTGAGATAACACTTTACAAACGGAATAGAACTTATGGTGCATTCCATGCAACAAAGGACATTAGTGTGTTCTGTTTATAGAGCTTCCGCGCTTCTCAAAAGCTACGTGGAGCTCCCATAGAAGCAGTTCACAAAGACATGAGAAGAGACGTCCTCGTGTTTGTCAAGAACCACACTACCTACAACTTGAAGACCAAAATGCAGTATGGAAAACAGGTGCTAGAGAGAAAAGAAAAGTATCTTCAGATGAAAAGCGTATAAAGTATTTATTCTGCTAAATTGCGAGTAACAATAGGTTTACCTTTGCATTCCGCGGTGTCATATCACCTAAAAGATCGGATATAGGCAGTGGTAAACTGTCTATCTATCGATGATACTTCACAAAATGAGACACTCACATATTCTAGCTATAGACCGTTCCGAAGATGATGCAGCTCGTTTTTTGCACTAGAATTCGTGGCCATACGCCTGGTGTATCGGCTTACCAGGATACAGAGAAGCGCTTTTAGAAGTGGGGGAAAAGATGAATACACTCGTAGATTTTATCACATAAAGCGTTACTCGCGTGAATCATTCTAACTTCTTCAGAGATGAAAAGGATATAGACCGGATCTTCTGAAACAATTAGGTCAATAATTAGAGTAATCAGAATCATGAATAAGCTTAGAACTTGATGTTAGCTTTCAGAGAGCAGTGAAAAAGCCTACTATCTGGAGGAATGGCTTTGAATATGCATTCCCTTCTATCGTAGCTTTTCATATAATTACCACTCTGCACAATTAATCTGTTTCTTTCAGGGCAAAATAAGATGCTTATAAAAACCATCGTAACCTAATTAAGTACACCTACATAAAACTACATTGCTGAGCTCCCTTTGCAGCCACCCAATGCTTTTGTGTTGTATCATGCAAGTCCCCGCTAGGATAGCCAATTGAACCAATCAAAATTGGTTTTAGTAAGCCTCTCAGCTAAAGTCATTTATATAGCCAAATAGGCGCCACAAAATTTCAACAAATAAGGACCCGTGTCGCAATGGTAGCGAGTCTGATTCCAGTCCAGAAGGTTGTCCGGTATGTGGAAAGAAAAAAATCGAATAAGAGGTTCAAATAGACTAATAAGCGATGTAGTTCGAATCGGGCCGGGTTCAATTCCTGAGATCTCTGATTTCCTTTTTTGCTCTCACCTTGGGCCTTTTTTCTTGCTTTTTCTGGCTCAGCCTGGCTTTTGCCTTTGCTGAATCATTGTCCTTTTTTACACAAAATAGTAAACGAGATCCGTGTGGGAGATAATACCCTAGTAAAGCTGCTGATGTTGATTGAATTGCAAAACTTCAAACAGATTTTGGCAATTTTTAGTTGATTACGTTGTACTCAGTACTATGTATATCCTACCTCTATTCTTTTTTTATGTAAATTTCCTTTACTACGACAACATAAGCTTGACGCTGCTGCTAATTAGCTTGAATTGCAACCAGCGGAGACGTTGGGTGAAATGGGAGCCGCCTAACTCGTCTGATTAGACGTATCAGTTCCCCAGGGTAGAGCAAGTGACCGCGGTTGAGCCTGCTTGCTAGCAACATCTCCGAGATCGTGAAATACACTAGATAAAAGCCTAATTTAGCTACAATATAAAGTAATCAATTGAGACAACGACGCACAATGTACTGTTTCTCTTGACTTTGAAGACTCGAGGTTCCAGCTTGCCGACGTCGACATCAGGGACCTGTTTACAGAAAAGATCGAAGACGAGAAATAAGCTGGAGGGCGAAGAGAGATCGTAGCATATGTGTAAGTAGTAATCCGTAGGAGTTTCCAGACTCAGCGAGCAAAAGAAAGCTGTAACCATCTCACTCTGATCTTGAAGGTATTGTTCGCGGCATTTGAGGATTATTCGTTTTGGAGTGATCTGGCTCATCGTTGGTTGAGGATACTAGCTGCGGGAGGTAGCCCAGGGGATAGCCACGAAGTAGAAATGGTTGGCAGTACAGAACTGCTGTACAAGGACTTCGTACACACTCTCTCACTTGTTTGGACAATGCTCCTCCTTTTCCTTCATTGGATACAAAATACGGTAGAATGATTGTGATCCAAATCTCCCACTCGGCGGGTCTCCCGGAAAGCTAGCCTGTACCGGTATTGTACTGCCTCACTGCGTCGTAATACCCCATACGTAACACCGGATCGGTTGGCACTTCTGTTACGATACCGACATGTGCGAATTCAGCTCGGTTATGATCATGTGACCTCGCCCCAACAAAGGGTGGCCTGCGTGGAAGCGGTTCGATGTCTGAAGAATCAGGTTGAAAATTTTTCACAAGGCGACCTGACAGGCAGACAGGCAGAAAGGCACAGCTGGCAGGAAGGCCTCAAGGCCTCATTCCCAGGCATTCAGGAAGTGTTAGAAAATGTGTACTTTGGCCTCAGGCCTGATAAATGCAGTCCAGACGTCATTCTATCGATTAATAAAAAAAGGGGAGTTCCAAATTAAGAATTGTCAACTCTCATTTACATAGTCCTGATTGATGCTGAAGTTTATCGGAACAAAGCATCGAAAACAAAGTAGAGTATCCGCCACACGTGTAACAGAGAAGAGAAAAACAAAGAACAGCAGAAGCATTAGAATAAAAGAAGTAGGTCCCATTTCTTTAACTGTTATAAACTGCTGCTTTGCGCGATTTTTGCATATGACGCCTCCCCGAGAATACCGTAAACTCCCTCCAGTATGCCAAATAACCTGCCCAGAGAGGTACTGTAAAGAAGAAGAAAGAAAACACACATAATTTGATGATGACGGGTTGTGGTACAAAGAGTGAGCAGAAAAAGACAAGAGATCACATCATCGGGGCTTGAGGGGCCTGCATGCGAGGATGCATTGATGCTTGGAGTTGCTGAATCTGTCGCATCATTTCCGCTGTTTGGGCAGTTTGAGCTTCCGACTGTCGCCGTAATTCCTCATTTTCTTGTCGTAGACGCTTCATCTCCTCACGGAGATCCGCACTGTCGCTGCGACCGCCCATGCGCTTTCGCTTCTGTCCCGCCTTGCCGTCACTTCCATCTTCTTCCGTGTCATCACCGTTGGGGATCAATCCGGCGTCTGTGTGGACGCGTCGGAGATGCTCATTGAGGTTTTCTTGTCGTGAAAATCCCTTGCCAGTATGGCGCTTGCAGTTTGGATGCGGGCAGTTGAGCTGCTTCCGGGGGCCACCGTGCTTGTTGTGCACTTCACGTTCGTGTCGGAGGAGACCGCCAGAGTACGTGAAACCCGGGAGCTTCTCGCATCCTTCTGCTGGGCATTTGTACGGCCGATCGTGCTTATCCATGTGTTTGCTGCAAGGGTTGGTTAGATGAATGTACACTCTCAATTAGCTAGGAGTGTCGGATACACACCTCCATTCGCACTTGCGGTTAAATTCTCTGACCTCTTCCGTGCAATTTGGCCAGTTGCAGTAGAATCGACCATTGTCATATCTGGTTACTTCACGATCGGGTTTGGGAACTGGCTTGGAGCGACCGGGGGAAGCAGCAGCTTCGGATTCATCTTTCGGCAGCTCGGGGATCTCGAGTCTGTCATCTGGAGGAGCACCGATGGCTTGGGGATTATATGGGTTTTCGGAGAGTGGTGGCGGTGGACTTGGGTATCGAGGTTGGTCGTGTTTGAAATCTTCTTGGTCCTGCGGATGGTTCATCTGCATGTCCGGGTAGTTCGCGTCCGGCATGAACGTGCGAGACTCGTAGCTGAGACTCATATCGGCAGCTGGATTGGGGTAGAAGCGGGTGGATGATACAGGATAGTGAGAGGGAACGAGGTGAGCGCGCCCGTAATATGGTTGTGGGCTGTTTTGATTGTGGTGATGAGGAGGAGGGACTTGGTATGGAGGCCCGCGAAGAGTTTGTGCTGCCTGCTCGCCTAAGGCTCGCCACTCAGCCACACCAGCCTCGGGTACGGTTGTCTGTGCTGACTGCACAAGGTAAGTACCAGCAGCATTTGCATACGCACTCGGGTCGTGATAATAGCTGTACACTCCGCTGCCTTGACTCCCTGGCGCTGCTGGGTGGGCAATGCCGCCTATAATACATTGCGAATTTGCATCAGTCACATGTTCTTGGATCTGTGAATCTCCCATCGGTCTGATGACTCACCAGTATGGCGAATACCTTGAGGCGCAGTTGCCTGGTATCGTCCTCCCAGGGCAACGGCCTGCTTTGCCTGCCTAACAAGAGCGGGTTCCTCCTCTGTGACTGGTGGATTAGCGCTGGTACAGGGCTATCAAGGAAGCTGTTGGACAGTGGAGACACTCACCGTGCTCCTGATAGACCATTGTCGGCCCCTCAGACGGCTCTTGCTTAATAGGGAGATCACCTGCGTCTACAGCTTTGATGGATGTTAGCCCTGTCTATTTCCATTGTTATCCAGTTTGCGTTAGATCCCTTGAAGGAGTCGTAAGGCAAGCGATGTATTGTGACGAATTGGTGGCCTTCTTTCTGTGAAGTGCCGTAGGTGTGTGCACGCGGCAGTGAGATATCCCAGGCGGCAGCAATGTCACTCCAGGGAGAGGGCTGAAGCTCAAAAGCCTAGTGTCATCGCCGAGAACTACTCGTGAGCAACAAGGAGGTTTTGCGGCTGACCGTAGATAGTTGCTGCCAAACAAGGTGAGGTGGAATTGTATAAGCACGTACCGTGATGTCCCTTGTGATTCCGCGGTCTTTGAGCCACAGCAAAGGGATAGCCATGTATTGGCGTCTGAACAACAAAGCGCTGATTCAGACGTGGTCCCTGCGAGGTGTGCTCTTGGGAATATCCAACGCGCATGTAGAACATCCAACATACGCCCCAGAGCACAAGGAGGGATGGCTTGACACCCGCCCAGGGCCAGGTGGAATTGAGAGGACGTCTGCCTTGAGGCCATTCAAAAAACCAGTCTACGCCGAAAACCGATCTATTTCGATTACCGCGATCACCAAAGCGCTCTCGAAAACCACCGTCGCGAGGCAGCTCTGGGGCAAGGCTGCAGTCACGCTGCCTTATTTCCTGAATAGCGAGAAACAGAAGCCACCAGCCTGTGCATATGGATGAGGCAGACCTGCGATTGTGGAATCCAGTAAACCAGATATGTACCAATTTCGTAAAATCCAACACATACCGGCCAGCGACTTGTAGACAGCGAGAAAATTCTAGCCATTGGGGCTTCAATGGCGATGTGATGCTTAGCGCGCCCATCCATTCTAGAAGCCACAATGAGGAATCATGACTTGGATGAAAATCTGGATGCTTAACACTTATTCGCGGGGCCCTTCATCCAATCGTCAGCGAGTCTTTCGAGAAAATGCAACCCAAGAAAAGCAGTTCAAAACCATTCTCAGCCAACTGTGCGACAGGGCAAAAAAAGATGAATGGCAAATACGCAAAAAGGGCCACTCAATCCAACCAGTATGAAAATGCTTCTTGACTCACTCAATGTTTGTTTTGAGGCCCAGGAGGCTCGTACACAGAAGCACAGCGCCCACTACACTGTGAATGAATAGACCACCGATACTAGATCCTAACCAATCGCCATCATACTCAATCTGCTCTGGAGCAATAATTCTCGTCATCCCCCCTCCCACCAGCGGCGGCAGCTTTGCCCCGCGAGCGGATGATAGGTGGTCGAGGAAAGGGAAAGGACGTCGAGGCCGAGCTGGGAAAGAAGAGAGCCTTGTCTCTTGCCGTTTGCGACCAGCTGAGCCAGGAACCACGACAGGCGTAAGACGAAGGATCAAGAAGAAAGAAGCGTTGAAGCAAAGTCCCTTGCGCCATCAGGAAGGAAAGAAAGAGACAAAGAAGCGTGGAAATAAGCTCAGTAGATATAAAGAGGGCGCAACGATTGAAATTTCTGTTTGCGGGTGCCTTTCTGGGGGAACCTTCGAATCGCAGAAGTCCGAGAGAAAAATGCCATTATTGCACCCAGATTAAGGTTGAATCAGATCTCTTGGAATTTCGTCACACACCCCTCCAGCCAGCTCCCCCTCCATGGGGCATCACCATTCGAGGGAAGAGCTGCGATAGGAGCAGGAAGCAGGAAGCAGGCCAGAAACGGTGCTAGAAGGCGCCGCGCCCGCCTGCGCATCTCATGGCATGCATCGTAACGCATCAGTAGTTGCATGGCTCTTG